AAAATATCATAAAATTCAGGAATACGAGCACATAAAAAATACAATATCTATTAAGTTTCATAGCTAAACAATAACCAAACAATACAAATGTCGACCTGATATGGAACACTTGCGAAGCGTGGGTATTGCTAAAATGTGCCTGAATATACGGCTGACTAGTTGTATATTAAATCAACCAAAATAAAGGAAAACCCTATGTTTTTTACACATTAACCACCAGATTTAAGAAAACCCTATGTTTTTTACACATTAACCACCAGATTTTAACGCGATCTAGTAAATTTGTTATGAAGTGAAATGAAACAACACATAAACTGAAAATCGGCCCTTCTGGAACTATAGTCTGTATGTGTGATTCGTGCCGTCCCGTCCACATGCACATGTGGGTTTTATACTTAGACTTGCTGCTATAGTCGAAGAACATTTAAATGAATAATTATCGATTAATGTGTTTATAAAGGTTAACACGGTATGCAGACACAATCGCGTCGTGACGTCATCCAGATTGTCTTTCTGCCACCTATCTTTTATTAAATTTGTACGTATTTGTCACGCACGCTCTTATATGCTGCGATTTTTCGAAATCGAGTTGTGCGAGTTTACAGTTGCAAGATTGTACAACTTTGAAATCTAGCACTGGATGCGTTATTTAAAAATGGCGCTTAAAAGTTCACTTATAATTATTCTTATTCCTGTCGGTAATATACTGTAAATAATAAAATAACCATCTGTAATATTATTCTGTTGTTTTTTATGCTGACATTAACACCAATGTAATCAAAGTGGGCTACTACAGTAACTGTGCCCAATAACCATTAGTATTGTCAAACTGGTTTACCGAAGATGCCACAGTCCATGTACAAAGATGACAACTATTTCTATTTAGCAGAATCATATAGGTTTTCAACCCCAAATTATGTCATTGTTATTGTACCCTTCGAAACCTTTATATATATATATAAAGATTTTTAGTCGTGATTCTTATGAACATTTTAATATCTTCTTTACAGTTCTAGAATAAGCAACTGTGTCTACTAAGAGAAAAAAGTACCTAAACTTCAAATATACCTTGCCACTAAAAAAAAAATTCATGGCCGTCTGTCTCTACATGTTTTCTAGCCTGAGTCACCCAAAACTCTGTTACATTAGGAATCTCGCTCGTAGCAACGCAAAACAGACGACAAACCAAAGCCGTACCGTACCATCGAATATCTTAAAAATAGAAACACAAAACCATGCGTGTCTTTATTTCTCGTGTACCAATATACTTGTTTTAATAATTTCAAGGCAGCTGTGATGTAAATTAAATAACGCTTACGCAAATGTTTTATTTACACTTAGACAGCTTAAAGACCAGGTGATAAGTTTTTGCTTGACCATATATGATCCACGCATATATAAGTGGAACAATATAAAGTTAATGAGTGACGTTTCGAGCCGATCTATGTCAAGTCTTGTATAAGGCCATTATAAGTTTTTATTTTACTATGGTGACATTATTCTGTCTTCTATCGTAATACTATCTGCAATATTTAGCACTGTAAGACTAGAGGGAAGGCAGACAGTCATCACCACCCACCGCCAACTCTTTTACCAACGAATAGCGGGATTG